ATTTTAAACTATTATAATAAAATCTGAATATAGTAGAAATGCCATAAATTCTAAGGTTAAATTAAATTTGTTGAATGAACTACTTATCAATATAATGGATAAATAAATATATTTAACAAATATATATATACAACCCAGACAATAAAAAGTGTAGGGTTTTTTTTACTAAATATTTGGTTTTGTATTATTCAGAATACAATTTATTGGTTTTTGAAAGCAATTATTGAAGATAAATAGCTTAAATTAATGCTTTCCTTGGTTAAAAATGTTGATATTCCCTGAAAATGATATGATTTTAAAAATGGGCTGGTGGTATTAATAAAAATATTTAAAATTCACAAATATAAGCCTGGCTTAAAATCCAAACTGGTATAGACAAAGAAAGAAATAATATTATTTTGCTCATATATGTCACATAGGATTGAATATCTATTGGCGAAATCTCAACACTGAGGCATTATTTTCATGGCTATAATGTTGATAGTTGTTTTTAAAAATTGTCTCAAATCAAGCCGACAACACTAGTATATATAACTGATACCATTTTTTTTAGATATCAGGAAAATATACTCATTTTTTAAAAAATTTATTGTCATAGAAGAAATTATTTAAACATGGCTTTGTATAAGATTTTAAAAATAAATATCTCAGCTTGAAGCTATTTGTCATTAATATTTAAATTAAAATGCCACCAGGGGAAGAGAGTAAGCAGTATAATGGGAAATCCTTTGGATTTTACCATTGGAAGTAGAGGTATCTAATTGAAATATTAGCCTTTTTTTCGCTATCTTCATAACACTTCCCCATATAATTTTATATTTACTTGTATGTGAATTTATTTTTATAATGTGCATATGGATGAAAACAATCACTATTTAGAGATTCCCTTGGCCTGCTTCTCAAAAATATTTTTTATACATTTTACCTGACCTATTTACAATTTTTTTTCTTTTAGTCTGGCACGACAATTATTTTTTGTCAATTTTTTTAAAAAATCATAAATTCCTATATTTTAAGATTCCCAGCTGATTCCTTGTTTATTCACATTCGGGCCATCCAGATCTCTAATCACTAGTGTTGTTAAAAAGCCTGAATTTGGGATGATTATTCAAAAATGGCCCGGTTAAGATTTTAGCTAAAATAATAATATGTGTGAGCATCGAGATTTGGCAGATGTCCAGGCATTCTTGCCACCCATGCGCAAAATCTTTAGCAAGGAGCCATGCAAACCTAATAAAAATATATGTACATGGTGGCCTGCTGATACTGTTAATGTTGGTGCCATAGTCACGATGCGAGTCGACCAAAAGTTCTAGAGCTTTAAAAAAAATAGCCAGATTTTAGGGTCCCTATGTGGGCTATGCTCAGGCTCACAGGCCAGCACTTGCATGCAACCCCGCCATTTTTTTTTGTCTATCAGATACTGAACAAATTATCGATCGGCCCTTCCTAAGGCCTCTTTTTGTTGCAAGCTCATATGTTGCATCCGATATTCCTAAGATGATGTTTACGCATGAAGAAAATATAGCTGCTAATCTGGTGCCAATTCTTAGCGGAACACATTTATAGGCAGGTTCATTTTAATATCGGCACATAATGGGTGGCACCACGCTTCCATATTGGCAAAACTACGCTACCCATACGCGTCGGTTATGCCACCACTCTTACTTCGCTTCCACGTTATTTCTTTGCGCCATTTCGACTTCGTTATACTGTTATTTGCACATTCTTAAGATTTCGCTGAGATTCGAAAAATTCCATAACTGTCTGCCTTACAACCTATTAAACCTCTGATATCAATGAATTGTATCTGATCGCTTTTCCCAATATAGAAAACTAATCATTCAGTATTGTATCGGGGGTATTGGCCGATACTGTATTTTTTAGTATCAGCATAATTAGTTTTTTTAATATGGATAATGAATATATAGGGTTAGCAAAAATCATGATTTTTTAAAAAATAAAAATCAAAAAAATATTTTTCTGAAGGGAAAAAAAATCTAAAATCAATTTTTTTAATATAATAAAAATGTTTTTGTAATATGTGTCCTGTGGTAAATTATTAATTGAACAAAATATTCGTTTTATTCCATTAAAATCATGCGAAATTTAGAAATACGTCTTTATTTGATTTTAACAAAAGGAAAATTTTAACTAATTTTTTTAAAAAAAACGCATTACTCGTTGCATTTTGAAATATGTAACGAATAGGGTTTCCAGTTACTTTGCAGCACCGAAATAAAAGGCAAATTGAAATAATTATAGATTTAAAAAAAATCATTTTTTATAAGTTATTATATTAAAAAGGATTTATTTAATCGATTAAAATCAGTATAATAAAATTACCTTTAATAAAATTTAGCCATTAATTATCAGATGTCAAAATTTTTGAAATAAAAATTTGCAAATCTTTCATGTTTGATATTTTAGATTTATCCCAGATAACTGTATTTTTTTTTTAAAAGCCGGTCGGGCCGGACTAGGCCAACCTCTGTAGGTCTCTGATTTAGCCTTCCTTATAAGCATGAAAAGGGTATGATATTTTTATTTTAATTAAAAAAATCATTGATTTTAATCACGACGATTTTTAAATTAAGCTGATTAAAATCGTGCCAGCCAGTCATATTGGCGCATTTTTGGATGCATTTCTGCCTGTCTTTTCTAGTCTCAGTTTGCTTCGATGGTTCTATTCTAGTAATCGGTGATTTGGATATATATATTTTTTTTTAAAATTGTATATTTCTGGAAGATTCTTAGAAAAAATGTAGTTTTTTACTGGCATACCCCAATAATAATCTTATATTCCTTATTCCTTATATTCCTAAAATCTATATATAAAATATGCTTTTTCTTTCCCCTTCAATTATTAATAATTTTGGCAATTTGTAATCTTTTTTGAAAAAGATTATTATTATTTTATTTTTTATATTTTTTTTTAATCTCGAAATTAAAATATCAATTATTGATATTTTTTATATATATATATATTCCGAAATAGCAAACAATGGAATATATTATTTATTTATTTTTTTATCTATTAGACACATTTTAAATGTATTTAAATTATATTATCTGTTTTTTTCCCCCTTATAAATTATTTAAAATATTCCCCAAAATTAATGATTAAGCTGACAAATCCTTATTTTGATACGTTCATCAGTTATCTGCATCCGGCCCTAATTTTTCGAGCCCGGCCCGGCCGGATATTTTTTTATAAAGTTTTGCCCGATCCGACCCGTACCCGAAAATTATTTTCCGGCCGGTTCGAATTTTCTTAAAAAATATAAGGCCCGGCAAGAAGACATCTCTAATGTGTATTACCTATTTTACGATGCCTCTCACTCAAAAGACTAAATTTTTTTTAAAAATGTTTTAAAATTAAAAAAAGGCCACTTAAGATAAAATGATAATTTAATTTTATTTCCTTTATCGCTAGAAGAATTTTTTTTTTTAAAAAAAAATACAGATTGACGTGATTTCAATCAAGATAATTTTTTTTTCTTCTAAACTTAAATATCGATTAAAATTAACGAGATGGATAATGATAAGATTTGGTGTTCCCTTAACTAAATTTTTTTTTGCCTTTCCAAACAAGATTATTTTTCTTTTTTTTTGCATTTATTTAATTTAAAAAAATAAATATAATATTACGTATAAAATTATTGCTTTACAATACCCGATTCGGGCATTTCTGCTGATACATGTAGCATAACTAGGCCTATTTAAAAACGAAATACGGAATGAATATTAACGAATAGTAAATTATTCGACTTGTTCGAATACCGGAATAATTATCAGAGACCTCCCGGACGTATTATAATGTTTTAACTATACCCGGGCCGGACCGGTATTTCTACAGGTCCCTGATAATTATGAATATTTTTTTTTTTAAATAGAAATTTTATCTGTCGATCACCTATCAATCTTGCAGATGATTCGAATTACTAAGGTTATGCCTCAACTGCTTGTCACATGCTTTTTATTCTTAGTTGGAACTGATTCGCTTGTCAAAAAATGGCGAAGAAACGCTAAGAAAAAAAAAACTCTTTCCCCCCCCCCTTAAAAAATTGGTTTCGGCGTGATAAATGCCATTTGAATAACGCATTTCGATTTCGTTAAGAAACGTGATCGCGTGCATGTTTCGTTATCCGATACTCGAACTTTCGAATCCGGTAAACAATAATAAAATTGTTCTATTCGTTCAGTACGAATAGCGCGGTATTCGATTAGTACGTTCGTTTTTTGTCGACTATAGTATTCCGTATACGTAACACCTGATTCATAGTTCTAAGAGATGTCTATTCGTGTCATGAATCCACCAGAAAAGGTTGATAGAAAAAATAACAGAAAATATGGAATTTTTTTGCTCACTCCCTCCCCCCCCCCACCTCTACCATTGAATATTATACTTTTCCCTTCCTTGCAAACTATTTATCAGACAAAAAGTTCAAAATTTTACTTCCGGTCGCCCGACATTTCGAATTATTTTTTTTTTTAGAAAATTTTCAACTTCGATTAATTGGAATTTAGGATAATTAATTCCCCGGGAAAAAAAAAATCTTTTAATTAAGATATTTAAAAAAAAAATTTACAAAATTTAATTGAAAAAAATAGGAGAAAAATATTTAAAAATTTTGAGAAAAAAAAATTTCAAATCCGAGAAATTATTTTCCCAAGAATTATTCGTGCCAGATAAGATAAGATTAAGATTTGGGGATTTTTTTCTTTTCCGGGGAATGACTCTTAATCTACGATGTAATTCCAATTCCACTAGTCCTCCTGGCTTGGTTCGATTTAAAATTATTATTATTATATTGATTTGGATTTGAACAAAGGCCTTCTTATATTAAAAAAATAAAAATTATAATATTTTGTATGTGTTTACATTAAAAAGTTTTATTAAAAAATAAGAAGTATATTTATTAAATTCATGTTATAATAAATATTAAAATATGTCTAGGTCTACAAAAAAAAAATTTAGTCATCTTCTTATAATAAATTACATTCAATTTTTATATCTTTCTTTTTATTGTATTTAATGGAAAATTGCATAATTATTATATTAAAATTATAAATAAATATTTATCTCCCATTATAGCTATTAAAGAATACCATTCGAGATTTTAACCTGTCACATCTCGTTCCATTCGATCACACATCCAATCTCGAGAAGCGAGAAATTACAAAATTTCGGTCAATTTATTTTCTAAATTATGAAGGAACGCCGCGAAGTAGATGCAAGTAAATACATTTTTTTAAAATATATATAAAATTTTGAAATCTATAAATTTCCCGCGTTTTATTTTGCAACTTCCGCTTCCGACAATGTCCACCTGATTAATAAACAAAAATTAAGAAAATGGCGGGGGGGGGCTGAAATTAGTGGCATAATGATTTATAGTGGGGGAGGGTTAGCTGGGGGGGGGAAGTGGCGGTAAATTGGGATGATAAAAAAATAATGAATGACGGCTGCCTCTCCCCTAGCTCGTCTAGGGATTATAAATAACTTTTCTAAATGGAACGCGATTTTTTTTTTAGACTACGACAACAAAAAAAAAATGATAGGAATTTGAAAGGTGTCTATCAACCGTACATCAAAATCAATTCTATTATTTTTTTAAAAGAAAAACATGTGTGGTATTTTTTTTATGGCTACTTTTTATTATGGTGCTCTATTCAGAATATTTAGAATTAGTACTCGGTAGAATATCTAAGGAGAAAGAAAAAAGGAAATCATGACTCATCTCTATCCCTTCTTATTTCCGGTTTTCTGCCTTGATTTGACACGGAATATTAATTTGAATAAAAAAATTTTTAAATTTATCGATTTTTTTATAATTAGATTTTTTTATAATTTTAAAAAAAATCAATGATTTTTAAAATACCATCCTGTTTATATAAATCGTTTTATGCACATGGCTTCTTCCTATAAAAAATCCGCGAAAAATCTTTACGGAAATAATTAATTAATAATTATTTTTTTTTTGGCGGGAAAATTAATTAATAATAATAAAAAAAAAATTTTTTTAAATGAAAAGGAACGAATGAATTTTATGGAGATCGCGTCAGATGATTCGCCAAAATTTTTTTTTTGGCTCTTTAATTTTTATAAAATTATAAAAAAATATTCTCAGCACCCCCCCCCCCCTCTCCCCTCCCACCTTATCTCTTCCAATACTTCCCCAAATAAAATAGAAAAAGTTTTTTTTAAATCAATCATTTCAAGATTGAGGTTTTAAAATACCCTCAAAACTAATTGATTTGTTTTTTTTATAGGAATAAATATCGATATTATTAAAATTAATAATATTATTTCACCTCAAAAAAACATTTTTTAAAAATTTTTTATCGATATCTGAATGAATCCATCATTATTCCTGGTTTAGATTATAATAATTAAATTATTTATAGCAAAATCAATATATCTTTGTGCGATTTATTTCCTTTTTTGTATTCTCAATTTTTTTTTTTTACCACCTTTTATTTTCAAATAATTGATTTGTCATAACAAAAAAAAAGGACAATATTAGGAAGAAAAAAAAAAGTATCGATTTATTTTTTTTATTAATCTCCAAATCTATAATCGATATTTCGGGTTTTTGACTCGCTAGCTTATTGAATAAAATAAATGTCGAATGATCTTGTTCCCGAACGGGATACGTCCAAAATCCCGGATAATTCCAAAGAAGCTTATCCTTTACTCCAATCAGCTAAGACCCCATATAACGCCGGACAGAGTTATAGGGAGGGTGAATACGACCCCAATAACAAAAGTAAACATAAAAAAAAATAGATTTTTAAAATTTTTTTTTTTTACTTTTCAATTAAATTTCGCCACCTTTCTAAACTTTTATAAATGAAAAATAAATTAATAAGCCATTTTAAATATAAAAGATAAAAACATGTCCAAAAACATGAAATATTTGATAAATTTCAAAAATTTTGAAACTTTGCGAATTTTTTTTAAAAAAAAACATTTTGGACACAGCCCTATAATTATAGTTCTTAGAAATTGAATTTTAATTTTTTTTATAAGATTTACGTGTATTCGTTCTTTTTTTTTAAAAAATTTGGAATTTTTTTTATGGGACAATTTTTGACATTATTAAGTTTTTTGTCGCCAAAGGGGACAATATTTGACTAAAAAAAATTCTTATTAAAAATAAATGCGACATATAAATATTTTCTATCAACTTTTGAATATAAAATTAAGACATATATATATAAAGTTATATAAAATAATTCTTATAGACATACATGACTTTATTTTCTTATTATTTTAACCTTTTTTTTAAATAAAAATAATAATAAATTAATAAATAGAGAGGGAAAAAACAAATAAAAAAAAAATAGTTTTAAAATTGAATAGAAAAAAAAAATGAATGGAGAAAGATTAGAAAATTCATATGTATTTATATTTAATTTTTCAAATAATTTATTTTGTTCAAAATTAGCCTAAATGAATAAATATTAGACCTATTTATTTCTCCAGAATATTTATAAATGGCATAATGCTGACAGCGTCGTCAAAATGCAAATCAGCTGGACCCGCCATTTTGGTTAAGAAAAACTATTAAATTGTTAACTCGTTTCTTCCCTATTATCTTGATGATCAGGCAATGCTTTAATAAAGCTTAATTGGTCTCGTTTAAAATTAAAATGGCGTCCCCAGCTGTTTTTCGTCGATGTAAACTTTTAATTAATGCGTCGTCTGTCTTAGGCATTGTTATATGTCATTAAATTGATTATTTATTCCAGCATACAGTAAATATAAACATTTTCGTATTTCCAACTTGATTGACATTTGGTATTTTTTCGCGATAATATCAGTAATCTAGGAAGAAAATGGCGTTCTCCACTTCCTTGGACACTTTTTACGAAGTGGGGGGGGGGAATATTGAGAATTTATTTTTATTGTCATAATTAGTATGACGGGTCAATCCTTGACAAATCGACCAATGAGAAGCCATTTTTGACACTCATACGATTGGAATGAATGCAATTTGATTGGGTTATAAATTTAGCTTAAGTCAGGGTTTCGCAGACTGATCTAAATCAATAAAAAAATCTTCAAAAATTATTTTTTACCTTCATTTTTTTTTGAGAATCCTTTAAGCAGGCTTTTTGATCAATTTATTCCCAAAATTCCAAGTATATTTATAAACAAAATCTTTAAAATGCTCATTTGAAGATTTTTGCTTTATTCTGGAAATTTTAAATCTTTTATTAGATTCAGATTCAGAAATTTATGTATAACTTCCGGTAGAAATTTGAGCGCCATCTTTTGGCTGAACTAGAAATCTCTTGAATTACTCAGTAAGTATTTGTTCGTGCTAGGAGTTACTTAATATTCAGATAAAAAATAAATCAAAATCTTTATTTGTAGTCGCCTTCTAGACGATGATGATAAAGTTCGATAATAATTTTTTTTTTAAAAAAACGGCTAACTCCAATATTTTATCCAGAAAGATCTAACACCAGCCTGAAGATTTTCATTCGTAGATTGCAGGAAGGTTTGTATCACCAATTAGCGAAATTTCAACTGGCTTAAATATCGAGTTGACCGTTTTTAAAATCGGCTTTAATCGTGTCATTCACTATTCCATAGTAAGAATCGACTAAAAATCGATTTGATTAAAATCACTCCGATTTTTTTAAAAAAAAAATCGAATATAATTAGTCATTTTAAAATCAATATTTTAATATCGGTTTTAATATATTGAATTTGATCGAAATGATATTTAAGTGAAAAGATATATAGTATAGGCTTGGAGTTTCAAAAATGTAAAATAGATATTAAATTACTGCTGATTCTTTAAATTATTTAAATTTATTCTAATCAATCAAGTTTGTTAAAAATTTTTAAAAAAAAATGCAATTCTAACAAATAATCTATAATATAAATTACCGTAATCAAGAAGTTTTCGTATAATCTTGAATGTTAAATTTTATTTTTCCTATCAACTTCTCTATCTTCTTAATGTTAAATAAACGGATGGAGACTATGTATCTCATAATCAGAGTTGTTAAAGGATCTAGATACAAGTATCTAGATATTAAAATGTGGTATCTCTATCTGTATCTAGATAGATTTTTGATTAAAATATCTGTATCTAGATATTATTTTAGACGATGTATCTGTATCTAGATCCATTTAAAAAGTATCTTTTAACAACTCTGCTCATAATGTTAAATTTTCAGAAAATTTTTTGTTCATCACGCGATTCGAACCTATGACTTATAACGTTTTTAAAGGCAAACGTTCTTCCCACTCAGCCACCTTCTATATTTTCTTATATACGTTATTATTTTGCTATTAACATTTATTTTTCCAATTAATTTATATAATTTAGATCATATTTGTGTTATATTAAAAAAGAATACTAACATCAACTCAAATTATGGTAAAAAAATGAATATTATTAATTTTTAAAAAATAGCAAATTAAACATTAATTTTAGCTTTAAGTATTTATTTTACATTCAATCGAAGTAAATATTTTATTAATTTTTATAAAATTATTTTTACATTACTTGTTAGATAATTACAAATAATGTAAATTATTTACCATCCCCAAAATATGGCAATAAAAAATTTTTTTTTAAATATCAACCACAAGATATGGGAACACTGCGAATAGTATCGAATACCTATTTATCGATATCAGAGTTGTTAAAGGATCTAGATACAAGTATCTAGATATTATTTTAGACGATATATCTGTATCTAGATCCATTTAAAAAGTATCTTTTAACAACTCTGATCGATAGCTTCCCATGCCAGAAAATTAACCTCCCTCTCTAATCCCTAAATAATTATTACATTTAGCCAAATCGAAAAATAAACATTTATCCCATATCACCACCCCAAAATATGCCATTATAAAAATTTTTTTATCTCAACGACAATATTTGAACTCTGGCAATGACACACAATACCAATTTTATCAATATCTACGCTACACTACATATTTGATTACAATATCATATATTTTACGCTAAATAAAAATTTCATATAGTACAAGATTTCATTGTTCCAGTCACTCTTGACGGATTATCAACTAGTATATTAATAATCACAAAATCAAACGTCCGCCTTTTCCGCTCCTAATCGGTTCTCTACGCTTAAAGATTAAGAATTCCCAATGACGAATACTCCTTTCCACTGAATCCGGAAAGGGGGGGGGGTGTTGTGAATAGTTGTTTTTTTTTAACCATATTAGAAAGAAATATTATTCTAAGTTTAAAATTTTTCCGAACAAAATTGATTTTATTTAGTGTATCAGGTAGCGGTCGTAACTTTATCCTACCAGAAAAAAAAAAATTGGGGTTTTTTTTTCGAGTAGCGTCTGTGGCCTTAATCAGCTGAGTGAATTTTGGGAAGGAGCGGAATTTACACAACTGTGTGGGCAGCCATTTTATTTATTACGATAATCTTTTATTATGTTCGTATTTTATATGCGTAATATGTTAGCGTCGATGTATTATTTTTTTTTTTTGAAATAGTATATTCCATCACGTTCGGTATTACCTATCTCATGTGAATCGTAGACAATTTCGCTTGCTAACCTTTGAGTCATAATTCATATGTAATATATGGAAAATTTCTAAATATAAAATTATGGGTTTATGGGATTATTGTCTGAAATGTCTCTAATCTTTCTTTCTTTCTTTCTTTAAATATATATATATGTAGGAATATGTCATATAAAAAGATGCTAGGCTATATATATAGTATATAATTTTATATAAAAATATAGCAAATGAAGGTAAGGTATTTATATATAAGAATTTTATTTTTATTAGAAATCATAAAAATATAACTATATATATAAAATAATTAATATTATAAATAATCTCATTAAAAAATTTGATTAGTTAAAAATATTAATCCACTTTTTTTTCCTTCAGCATAATACATATATGCCATATTCATGGTATACCAACCAATGGCATTTCCCTTTTCTCCTAGGCCATTTATAAAGAACTACGAGATCCAACAGAAGATACAGATACTTCCATATCCACTAGTTTAATTAATGCAGGAAGGATGAGAATAATGACATCTTCGAATGCATTTGTCACTTATCGTCAAACCTTTTTGACACTATCAATCAGGTCAGCTTGCTATTTCGGAATATACGAATGCCTGCTTGATATTCCTATTTTTATAATTTTAAACGATCATTTTTATCTTGTTTCGTGGGTTTGATTGCTTCAAAGTCATATGAAATTCATCTCAAAAATTTGGGTTAATTTAAGATTTTATTTTAAAAATTACCGTAGCCCATTCAGTTGTACACACGCACATCTGAAATATATCTACCAGTGGAATTGTATCGAATACCTCGTGGTGTGATAAGGAGATTTCCCTTCCTCTTGTTTCAGCGCGAAATTCGCGAAACGTATTATTTTTTCGAAATATTTAACAACACATCTTCCCACGTTTTTTTATGTAGATTTTAAAAATAACGCCCATTACTTTGTTTTCCAAATTCTTCCTCATCTTTGATTCTCAAGTGACGAAATTTGTAACTGAGAGTTGACACTCAAGTTCAGCAAGATAGTTTTAGTGAGCTCGATGCCCATATGATTTCTGACTCGCTCGTAGAAAGATCCATGGCATCAAGGCCAACTGTGTTTGTATGTACAACATGACCAAGTTTAATTAGACTCACTACAATCTGCTCTTCTATTATACAGAACGAACTTTCTTAACTTCGCGATCACCATATTATAAGAGCATTTCATGCTTACCCCATAGAAGGCTTAGCATGCTGAAGACTAGTCTTAGAGCCCTAAAAGGATTAAGATTTATCCAGTTTGACTAAAAATTGTGGCGCTAACAGAAACTGCTGAAAGAGGAGGCCGCGCAGTGTCAGTTTTACGTGGAGGTTTTACCAACCGCTATTACCAAATTACCCGCTTTGTCCTTTAAGGTGATTAACGCGTATAACCTTATGTAAACCCCTCTAAAGATTTTTGCTTATAGTTAGGCAGAAACGCTTGGAACATCTATTCGCTCAAATCTCTTATTTTAGCTAAAAATCTTAATCGGGCCCTGTTTACAATTTTTTTTATGTGCACCTTTTGTTGTTAGGTCTCCTCGAGATCCTACAATTACAGTTTAAAAAAAAAATGTCTCGCGTAAATATTCCTTTTCGAGATAAGGGCATGGCCACTCATCCCCGTCTAGTAATTTTTTTTTTTTTTTACCTTTTGGTTTTTAATTTAAAAAAAAATTGTAAAGGAAAATAATCAGAATTTGGAAATGGAAGTCGAAACACTGGAAAAAAAAATAATCTAATCTTCTCTTGAAAGAAAAGAGAATCCCCCTCTCCCGTTTAAAATGTATAGAAACCGGATATTGTTTAAAAAATCTTGTGCGATTCATTCCATAGATAAAGTTTTGAATCAGGATCTGTGACTCTTAGAATCGGGACAAATCAAGGAACTCGAATCATTTTTTTCTAGTCCAATATCTCTAAGAAGAATTCCATTTTTTTTTTGATTAATTATCAATTTTTGTACCAACAAAAATTCAGAATGGTAAACTTAGGGGAGGAGAGGGGAAGGAAGGTTACATTTCTTGGGAGATTTTCTAATCACTTTCCCGGAAATAGATTTTTTTGCTGGATTTTCTAGATTCCTGTTCTCGTAACTACTCTGGTAATTTAGATTTACAACTACAACACAGCATTTTTTTTAACGCTTATTTAACATCGAATTTTATAATAAAAATAATCAAGACAACTCCTAGAAGCAAATTTTTTTTATATTTATAATAAATTATAACCACCCTCCCCCCCCCTGTCCTCGCGAGCTCTTCTGAATCGTGATTGGTTGGAACTTGCCTTGAGCGGCCAACCCCAAGATCGAATTTTCTCTAGAATTTAGTCTAGAAATTTCTATTTTGTATTTACCATATTTTTTTTTGCTTACTAAAATTACTACTCGAACAATATTTAAATCTTCTTTTAGGCCATGTATCTATTGTCCAGATACATTTGAAAAGTATCTTCTTTTTTTTTGTTTATTTAGAATGGAGCCTATCAGCTCGTCACACTTTAGCCCTCATAGGGTTCCTAGGGTTTGTTACCGTTTACGCCTTGAGGGCTAACCTCAGCGTGGCCATCGTAGCGATGAGCAACAGCACCCACGCAAAAGATTCCCACAAAATTTCCAAATGCAAGGTGAAGGAAACAGCTCACGTGACACAAAAAGTTAGACCCGATATAAAGGTTAGCTATTTTTTTTTTATTTTGATTTCGCATCTTTCTATATTCGCCATTTTTTAAAAGTGCGAACATATGGAAGGGGGCCTTATTTTTTGCGAGAATTATGTTTCGGTATTATGTACCTATTACCAATGATTATCAAATCATCTGAAATTTGCAGGGTAGGTGTATTCTACACATACCGGAATACACTTTGGCAAAATCGGTTAATCATAAAATGTAAAAAAAAAAGAGTGTTGTATGCTTATTTACCAACTTTAAATCATTTACTTTTGACGAGAGACCGTTATAACTGTCTAATACTTTGACTTTACTCTTTTGATAAACGAAGCTAGGAGAATTCAATTGGGACAGCTTGATACAGGGTTATATTTTAGCCGGTTTTTTTTACGGCTACATATTCACCCAAATTCCTGGCGGATGGTTAGCCTCTTATAGCGCGAAGTATACCCTAGGTCTCGGGGTATTCTGGACCGCCTTTTTAACCCTCTTCACCGCGATGGCGGCCCGCATGAGTCCATACGGCCTTCTCGTTCTCAGGGTGCTGGAAGGATTGGGAGAGGTGAAATAAATATATTACGTTTTTTTATTTTTTTTTTCAAGTTCCCCAACCAAACAATGTGATTGGTCGAAACTTATTAACCAATCCCTTTTATATTTTTTTTTAAAACAAAAAAGGGTGTGACCTTTCCCGCCATGCACGCCTTGTGGGCTAAATGGGCTCCGCCTCAAGAGAGAAGTAAATTGGTCGCCTTCACTTACGCGGGTCAGTATTACATTTTTATATGCGTGATATTAACGGGTAAGTAGTAGTTTAATTATTAAAGTTTCAGTTTAACCCTAACGAATAACCCCTCTGTAATTTCCAGTTAACCGTGACAAGATGGGGTTATAACGATATCTCGAAGATGTTTATTTTATGCTATGTTATGCCCATTTTGTTTTTGGAATAAACGTTTTTTCGGGTCTTAAATAATTTATTTTAAATACAAAAATAAAATTACTATTGATTAATGGATCAAAAATCCCATATCCTTCCATAATTTGTTTTCCGGCTCAACATGAAAAATTCGCATATTTAATTTATTTATTCCTATAAAACTATTCATTAAAAAAAAATACCGATTCGATTTTTATGATCATTTCCGGTTTTAGACACTTAAAATTTTTAACACAACATTAAACCAGTATACCACTTTCTAAAGGCTTACGACTTACTTATATAGAGAAAATTTAAATAACCCTAACCCTATTACAACTCTAAAGTCCTACCACTAAGCGATATAAAGATATTTAATTAACCCTAACGCTATACCCCAATCATTAAAGCCACCAATCTCTTATCAGTGTTAAGATAGATAAACATATAAGATAAAAATACTTGAAAAATTTTCCCCGAAGTCACATTTCAATTTAAACTCGATTTGGATTGGCCGGATAGTATCGGCATCGGCCGGGTGGAGTGAAAATGTTCCTTTAAAACACGGAAGGGAGAAATAAAATCGATCTTTTTTTGTGTAATTATAGGAGCTCCTATGGGTAACGTTATAGCGTATCCGCTCTCGGGTTGGCTCTGTCAACACGGATTTGCCGGCGGATGGCCATCGGTCTTCTACGTTATGGGTAAAAGAATTTCCGTTCATTAAAATTTGAAAAATCTATTTTATCCAACAAGATAGGGTTTGGGAATTAACTATACAAATCAAATACGGCGGACCTAACCGCATTTTTGGCGGATAAAATAACGGATAGTTGTATCCTGTACAACTCTTCAGTAGCGAGTGGCGATAAGCTAGATTTGTTTTTTTTTAAAAGATGACGAGGAGTCCAAGAAACATTTTTTTCTGAATATACGCTAACTCTAAGGGTGACTCCTTGAACCCTGACTTATTTTCTAAGAATAATAAATTTATCCATGATTTGAGTTCAGATCGGCTAGAACCAAATCGGTTCCTACCTTTTATAGCTACTCGGTATTTTACAAATAAGATAGGTCTCGCCACGCTTACCCTAAAATTGTAGTGATATAACTATTTTTTTTTAAATGACTAGATTCGATTTAAGTTTAAAAACCGATCTAATTGCAACCGATTACTACGTTTTTTTTAAAAAAAAACTGAACTGTGGAACAGTTTTAACCGACCACGGTTAGTTTAAACCGTAACTTCTGGCCATTTAATACAAACCCGCTAAGTTTTAGCCTTAAAACTGACGTAAAAAAACCGTTTCAGTAGGCCCCGATTCAAATTCGAGAGGCTGCCCAAAAAACTCGGCTAAACCGTATTTTAGAGATGGCCAAAGTTTGGATGATAAGTTTTAGCGACGCCACCTTCACTTGATTTTACATGAAAATAATTGAGCCTAACATAATTATGTTACGAAGGGTTGCTGGGATGCATATGGTACATCTTTTGGCAATTTTTCGTTTACGAAACGCCCGCTAAACATCCCCGCATCTCCAAGGCGGAACTGGCATATCTGCAAGAAAATATATCGTATCAGGACGAAAAGGTTTTTTTTTTCCTTTTCGATTTTTCTAAAAATTAATTTTTATTTGTAATTTAAAATCGGTGAGCCAGTTTAACCCCCTCCCCTTTTAAAAAAAATTTTCTTACATCGGTTAATGGTACGGTTTTCGGGTTCGGTTCGGTTTTGTTCGACCCGGGCGAACGTTGGAAAGCCTAACTCAAAATTTTTTTTTTTACATAAAATTTTCTCGTTTTTCGCAAATTTTTGATAGAATTGCTCCTTCGTTTTGTAAAATATTAGTGAATAAATAAATAAATATCTTTATACGTGTACATAATATAAGCTACCCATTCCTTGGCTGAAGATCTTCGGTTCCATTCGCTTCTGGGCCATAGCCGCCGCTCATTTTAGCTACAATTGGGGATTTTACACCATGATAACCATCTTGCCAAAGTTCTTTAGGGACGTCTTGAATTTGAACGTGGAATCAGTTAAGAACAATTTTTTTTTTTTTAAAAAAATTTTAAAAACATTAAAATTTTTAAACCAAGATTTTTTTTTGAGAAATGCATCAATTTTTTTTTATATTCATGACCTAAACGATTTTTGAGCTAAGGAAGGCGATCGGGCAAGAACGGGAGATTTTTCCGGAAGTCACGTGATTCACGGTCAGAACTTCGCTAATCCAATAGGAAAATTATATCGATATATTTGTTATATATTTTAAAAAAAAACAACATTAGAACGGACTTTATAGCGCTTTGCCATTTTTAGCGCAGTGGGCCATGATAGGCTTATCGGGAGCTGCCGCGGATTTTCTAACCAAGAAGGGGATGAGCATCACTCTCGTTAGAAGGATATTTAATACTTGTGGTAATATTATAACGCCTTCTTAATTTTACGTGATGGAGGAAAAGGAGATATAAATGGATAAAGAAATGAATGCGAAGAAAAAAATAAATGAATTGAAGGGAATAAATAAGGAAAAGAATCGAGAGGAAACAAAAAAAAAATCCATTTTTTTTTATACGCCTATTTTTCCGATGCGTTCCTTATTTTTAGGTTTAGTTATCCCGGCTTGCTTTCTCATAGGTGTAGGTTACGTCGAATGCAACGTTCCGCTTGCTATAAGTCTCTTAACGATAGGCGTGGGATTTACAGGTATGGCTCATGTCGGGTTTTTCGTGAGCCATTTGGATATAGCTCCTCCTTTTGCCGGTTAATATATAGTATTACTTTTTTTCTAGCGTTTTTTTACATGGAATATAAATATCATTTTCGCTCGATTCGTGTTAGCGTTTTCTAACATGCATTTTGATTATTACTGCGAACGGGATTCTAAGGTTTCTCAGAATATGGAATCTGGCAGGGCTGGTACCCTGACCGGGCTCATTCGTGAAAAATTTCTGTATCTTATTTTGGGATGAACAGAAATAAGATAGAATAAAACATATAAATTAAAAAAATTATCGTTTAATTGCTGAATATTCAAAAATTTAATAGATTAATGTTTATGATTGGGCAATTTTCATAACAAATTCGATAATCTTTCAGCCCTATAATCCTTTTACTTTCTAGATAAAATTTTGTACACAGAGAATATTCATTAGTAGGACATCGGATCCTAAATATTTAACATTCAAGTACTGACAGATTTTGAGATTAGCAGTGGTTAAAAAAAGACCTTTTTTTAAAAAAGATTTGTTATCTTTTGTAGCTCTACTAAACACTTTTTTAAAAAAAATTAGAAAGAATTTCATTTATTATGATAAAAAAATTTAGGCCATGGCAAACCAGGCCTATTCATATTTTTTTTTAGCAAGTGGAGTGCTGGCTTGGCCCCCCTTCCCATATAATTGATTTTGAGGGTCTCTAACTATCTTTCCCTCGTATATTGGCACATCAAAATGCAGGATTTTCTAATGAACCCCGCTTAATTTATTTGGATAAGCTATGGGCCGAACTTGAACTGAATTTCGATGTTACGACTGAAATATTATAAGCCTAAAAATCAGCTGTTTGCTACATACTGTCTTGCCAGTTCAAAAAAAGTGTTTTAATTATTTTATTTATTTAATTTAATAATAATCCAAACTAAACGAACTTAACCATTTACGCCATTTTTTTTTTGTAAAAGGAATGTTGATGAGCCTGACTAACACTATAGCAACTATCCCGGGTGCCGTTGCCCCGTCCGTGGCCGCCGCCATTACCAGAGTGCACGTAATTATATAATACGAATGAATGAATATATTGCCCGAGTTTAGAACCCGGGCTAAAAAGGATTCGCTTCCAAATCTGACGGGTGCCGGACTTCCGGTTCTGATTCCTATGACCTAGAAAAAAATTTTCCGTTCCGAAATCTTAAATGCCATGAAGGACAGCCATATTGTGATTTTTTTTATTTTTTTTTTTGTTTTTATATCTCAGTCAGATGCCGAACACTGGCGCATAGTATTCTTCATAGCTGCCATGGTTTACATTGCTGGAGCCGTGTTTTACTTCTTCTTCATATCGGGCGAGGAGCAGTCTTGGGCCAGGGCCCCTAAGGACAGAAACGTGTCTCCTAACACCAAGCCCGGTGCCCTCACCAAAAAAGGCAATCCGGAGATTACCGTCGGACCTGGGGCTAAAGGCTACGCTCCGGTGAGTACCACGTCTTCCCCGAGCGATAACGACACCGAGTTGCGGAATTTGTAGATGCGGGAAGGGGAGAAAAGAAACGGAAGCTGCTTTCGTGTATGTAGGGTGACAAAAAAATTCGGAAAATTATTATTATTTTGTTTAATTATTAAGTTTTAAATATAAACATTTTTAAATAAAAAAATTCACCCTTTTTCCTCATGAATTTTAACAAAAAATACTCGTCCTTCTATATTTTATATTATTCTAGTCATGTCAATTTTCTTTTGTCTTTGTAAGTAAAATATACATCATTTATAAAATATAATCAAATATTTATTTACTTTAAAACTCCATATTTCTCAAAATGAAAAATCATTATTTTAGAATTTTGAAGTTCTATCTACCTGCCAAAGGGAATACGATTTTATTTTATTTGATATGTATATAAATTGCGACATTTTTGAAATTGAACTCTTAGGACACTCCCATAGGAATGTAGATTTTTGGCCAATTTTTAAAAAAAATTTATAAGAGTCATATATTGTAATATTAAATTTTTACCCTTTTTTTTCTTATAATATTTTATGCAAATATTTGTATATTTAATGGGATTGATGATGTAATTTAGAAATTAAAAATTTGTGCTTTTTTAGTCTAAACAATTAAATTCGCATAATATGTTCATTATAATAATAAATATAGAATTTTTTTATTATTTAATAGTATAAATTAAAATTATTACTAATAAAATTTATCAAATGCCTATTTTTTTTGTCGATTTTTCGAAAATTTGATGTAACTGAAATGCTTAATTGTCCCATCTCCACTTTTGGTGATTTAACGAGAGGTTTTATTCGAATAAAAATATATGAAAGGAGATTAGATTGTTAAGTTTCTAACACAGATAAAATAATCTATCATTCGAATTTATATTGTAAAATTATTTTATGGAGACGACAGTTTGTACCTCTTTTTGATTTGCAAATTTTTCGATAATAAGTATAGAGTGTGCTCTGAATTAGAGATCAACAAATCGGCTCGACCGGGTTTCGGGCGGGGCCGGTTTTTAATTTCGGGTCGGGTTTAAATTTTTAAATAAGATATCATAGTCAGGTCAAATTGATACATTTTAAAATTCTTGCAAGAAACGATTCGTTAATATTTCGGGTTGGACTTTTCGGGAAAAATCTTTCGGAATTAGGCTGGGTACCCCCTGAAGCAAAAACATTTTTTTGAATGTCTCTCTGGAACGATTTCTATTATAATTCTATTAAGTATTATTATTTAGATTAGATTTTTATTATTTAAAAATTAATAAAAAAAAAACCATCTACATTTCTATTAAACTAGTGGCTATTTTAATTTTTAGGTTAGATTTAATACAATATTATAAATTATATTTTCTACTTATGTCATCTTGCTAACAGGTCCTGTGGTTAAAGATGGAATATCAATATCACTCTTAATTACTAAATATCATCTTAGCATTAACAGTTGAAGCTTAAATTAACCCTAATTTAAATAAAAATAACCCATTTATTAATTAATTAATATAAATTAACAAATTTAATATTTTAATTACTCGATTTAAAAATTATTAATATACTATATTATTCATTTTATTTTAATTTATAGAATAGATTTATACAATATTACAAATTATATTTTCTACTTATGTCATACTTGCTAACAGGTTCTGTGGTTAAAGATGGAATATCAATATCGCTCTTAATTACTAAATATCATCTTAGCATTAACAGTTGAAGCTTAATTAATACTAATTAAATAAATTTAAATATGATCAATTTATTAATTCATGTAAATTAACAAATTTTATATTTTAATTAGTCGATTTAAAAATTATTAATAAACTATATTATTTATTTTAATTTATAGATTAGATTTATACAATACAAATTATAATTTCTACTTATGCCATACTTGCTAACAGGTTCTGTGGTTAAAGATGGAATATCAATATCGCTCTTAATTACTAAATATCATCTTAGCATTAACAGTTGAAGCTTAATTAATACTAATTAAATAAATTTAAATATGATCAAGTTATTAATATAAATTAACAAATTTAATATTTTAATTACTCGATTTAAAAATTATTAATAAACTATATTATTCATTTTATTTTAATTTATAGAATAGATTTATACAATATTACAAATTATATTTTCTACTTATGTCATACTTGCTAACAGGTTCTGTGATTAAAGATGGAATATCAATATCGCTCTTAATTACTAAATATCATCTTAGCATTAACAGTTGAAGCTTAATTAATACTAATTAAATAAATTTAAATATGATCAATTTATTTATTAATTCATGTAAATTAACAAATTTAATATTTTAATTAGTCGATTTAAAAATTATTAATAAACTATATTATTTATTTTAATTTATAGATTAGATTTATACAATATTACAAATTATATTTTCTACTTATGCCATACTTGCTAACAGGTTCTGTGGTTAAAGATGGAATATCAATATCGCTCTTAATTACTAAATATCATCTTAGCATTAACAGTTGAAGCTTAATTAATACTAATTAAATAAATTTAAATATGATCAAGTTATTAATATAAATTAACAAATTTAATATTTTAATTACTCGATTTAAAAATTATTAATAAACTATATTATTCATTTTATTTTAATTTATAGAATAGATTTATACAATATTACAAATTATATTTTCTACTTATGTCATACTTGCTAACAGGTTCTGTGATTAAAGATGGAATATCAATATCGCTCTTAATTACTAAATATCATCTTAGCATTAACAGTTGAAGCTTAATTAATACTAATTAAATAAATTTAAATATGATCAATTTATTAATTCATGTAAATTAACAAATTTAATATTTTAATTAGTCGATTTAAAAATTATTAATAAACTATATTATTTATTTTAATTTATAGATTAGATTTATACAATACAAATTATAATTTCTACTTATGCCATACTTGCTAACAGGTTCTGTGGTTAAAGATGGAATATCAATATCGCTCTTAATTACTAAATATCATCTTAGCATTAACAGTTGAAGCTTAATTAATACTAATTAAATAAATTTAAATATGATCAAGTTATTAATATAAATTAACAAATTTAATATTTTAATTACTCGATTTAAAAATTATTAATAAACTATATTATTCATTTTATTTTAATTTATAGAATAGATTTATACAATATTACAAATTATATTTTCTACTTATGTCATACTTGCTAACAGGTTCTGTGATTAAAGATGGAATATCAATATCGCTCTTAATTACTAAATATCATCTTAGCATTAACAGTTGAAGCTTAATTAATACTAATTAAATAAATTTAAATATGATCAATTTATTTATTAATTCATGTAAATTAACAAATTTTATATTTTAATTAGTCGATTTAAAAATTATTAATAAACTATATTATTTATTTTAATTTATAGATTAGATTTATACAATACAAATTATAATTTCTACTTATGCCATACTTGCTAACAGGTTCTGTGGTTAAAGATGGAATATCAATATCGCTCTTAATTACTAAATATCATCTTAGCATTAACAGTTGAAGCTTAATTAATACTAATTAAATAAATTTAAATATGATCAAGTTATTAATATAAATTAACAAATTTAATATTTTAATTACTCGATTTAAAAATTATTAATAAACTATATTATTCATTTTATTTTAATTTATAGAATAGATTTATACAATATTACAAATTATATTTTCTACTTATGCCATACTTGCTAACAGGTTCTGTGGTTAAAGATGGAATATCAATATCGCTCTTAATTACTAAATATCATCTTAGCATTAACAGTTGAAGCTTAATTAATACTAATTAAATAAATTTAAATATGATCAATTTATTAATTCATGTAAATTAGCAAATTTAATATTTTAATTAGTCGATTTAAAAATTATTAATAAACTATATTATTTATTTTAATTTATAGATTAGATTTATACAATACAAATTATATTTTCTACTTATGCCATACTTGCTAACAGGTTCTGTGGTTAAAGATGGAATATCAATATCGCTCTTAATTACTAAATATCATCTTAGCATTAACAGTTGAAGCTTAATTAATACTAATTAAATAAATTTAAATATGATCAATTTATTAATTAATTAATGTAAATTAGCAAATTTAATATTTTAATTACTCGATTTAAAAATTATTAATAAACTATATTATTCATTTTATTTTAATTTATAGAATAGATTTATACAATATTACAAATTATATTTTCTACTTATGTCATACTTGCTAACAGGTTCTGTGATTAAAGATGGAATATCAATATCGCTCTTAATTACTAAATATCATCTTAGCATTAACAGTTGAAGCTTAATTAATACTAATTAAATAAATTTAAATATGATCAATTTATTTATTAATTCATGTAAATTAACAAATTTAATATTTTAATTAGTCGATTTAAAAATTACTAATGAACTATAGTATTCATTTTTAAATTTAATTATCATGTCTCTTCCTAAAAACATTTTCATAAGGAATTTTTTTTAAGGTGTATGTTAAATTTTTTATATGCTAAAAATTGATTTAGACATATAGTCGACTATCCTCTATTATATATAATTGATTACAACTTATTGGGTGAAATGCCACTTTTACAGACATATTCGATTGTTACAGAATATATTACGGTTAATATTTTTAGTAAACTTTATTAAATCAATGCCTTTGATAAAAAATATAGGTAATAATTGACATTCAATTCTTTAACGCCATCTATTAATTTTTATAAAATTAATATTAAAAAATTAATTATCTTATGATTCATCCCATGATATATAATTATCCCACAATGGATGTAATCATTATTATTATATATATTTTTTTTTCTTTGAAAATGAGATAAATTTTTAATACGAATATATTTTTATTACAAACTTTAATTTTAAGGTAATATATAAAATCTTAATTTCTTTTATCATATCCCTCTGGTTTTTATTTTCACTTCAGATCCAATCTCAATATTCTCTATGGGAGGTTTGCGTGTCTCGCTAAAAGAATCGTGGTATTGTTAAAATTTATTTCCAGACCCAACAAACTTACAGTTTTAGTAAGTTGATAAGATTGTA